ATGTCACTGTAACACAATGAAGTTTTGTGTTTTGTCTGACTTGACCATTTATGTTATTTTCTTGCGTAATAGGCCATCTAACTTTTATTGTACATGTTAATTAAGTCATTGTCGTTAGTTTTTAATCAATCCTCAATTAAAAGGTTATCCTGAATTATAAGAATGTCCCATGCTGTTAAAAGTTCTTTCATAGTTAGTGACACAACTGGGAAATTTTAGGACAATTAAAGTCTAAATCCTAACCTAGTACAAGTGAAACCACATTGCAACCCTTGTTGCATTGTATCATCTATTACCTTAATGACATGTTTACAAGTTAGAGAACTAAGCAAAGTTTGAAACCTAAGTTGATTTATGTTAATATAACTTAACATAAGTTTAAAGTTTAAAGTTTAAAGTTTAAATCATAAAATAATCCCATATATAGGTTTTTTCGCCAAAGGAGTCATGAAACAAAGGGAATTCGGTCATAAGTTATTAAAAACAAATAGAATTCGGTCTAGGATTATAGAAGATAAGTGTGTTCGGTGGTAAATCAAGGAACAAAGGTGGTTTTAGGTCACCATGATCGAAATCACCCACATATATGACCGAACACACAATTGAACCCACTATGCATGACCGAAAAAATCTCTTAAAGACCCATTAAGACCGAATTATACCTTATAATATCTAGATATTTAGTTCTTAAGGCGGTTATACTCTTACCAAGATGATAAGTTATAGTCCCCAAAGTAAATATCACTATCTCATATATATATAGATCCGGTAAGAAATTTTTTTTGGTAGGAAGGTAAAAAGTTTTTTTTCTACATATTTTTTTGACGAAAAAAAAATGAATCACTAGATGATTCATTTGTAAGATGATTCACAAGAAAAAATTCTCAAAAAAACATCTTTATGATTCATTTTTAAGTAAATTGAGAAAAAAATCACTTTTATGACAATTTTAGTGAATAACAACAAAATCATTATATAAATGAATCATCGAAATGTTTTTTTTGAGAATTTTTCTTGTGAATCATCTTACAAATGAATCATCTAATGATTCATTTTGTTTGTTCATGAAAAAAATATGTAGAAAAAAAAACTTCTTACCTTCCTACCAAAAATTTCCTTCTTATTTGATCTTGACTCTCTCTCTCTCTCTCTCTCTCTATATATATATATATATATATATATATATATATATATATATATATATATATATATATATATATATATATATATATCAAACGAGAACCATACCTCACAATTCACATCTTAAGGCCGAAATCCTTTCATTTTACTCTCAAAGTTCATAAGGCGGTCTTCAAGTCTTCAAGCATTAACATTCAAATATCCATAGTTTTGCCCAAATTACCTTCATATCTCCTTATCATTCAACAAGAACACTTCATATATTCAACCAAATTTCCCAGATAAAACATCACTTAAATTAATTCTTAGGAATTAATTTGGTAATTTCTTATTACCTTCAAGTGTTAATTTAATACTTTAAATTAATAGATTAACTAATTTGAACACATTATTATGTGTTTAAATAAATTAGGATACAATTAAATTATACGTGTTCTAGCCTAATCAACCAAAAACACGCACACAAGGTGAGTTAATACCACTACACTTTTCCAAAAATTTCTATGTTTTTAGATGGGGTGGGGGGTGGGGGGGGTGGGGGGGGGGGGGGGGGGAGGAATACAAGTAAAAACACAAGTAACATTCTGTTTAAAATACAAATTGTTTATTTCACTCTTTTATATACTTTATAAATATTGTACGTAAAAATACCAACTCAATATTTTTGTACCAAACTTATAAACTCTCAAGGTTGTTAAAATACAAAAGGCTCATATTTCGTAATTTACATGCATATAAACTATAATGAGTATAGTTTATGGAACTTGTGGATTATTTTACTAAGTAAAGAAAACGATATAAAAATACACATATAAATTATAATAGGTATAATTTATGGATAAATTCACAATATCAATCATCTTAAACTTATATATGTAAAAACTTCATCTTTATTTGTTAAAAGGTTTTTTTTGTATTACTCGTAATCTCGTTGAAACAATAAATTTGTAAGACACTTCGTGGTTTACTTAGCTAAGTACGACCTTAAGTCCTGACTTATTAATCAGAATCTCCTGGAGGGAGAGCATAAATTTGTGTATTGATCTATACGGGACTGACAATCTCGCACCTTAACTGTTCTCTACAGTTAGGCCGATAGGCCTAATGTGACAAATGTCATATCATTTCGACGCCTGAAGACGTCGCAACAGGCATATCAATTCTTTTAAAGCTGTAAAACAAGGTATTTACATGATATCTATTTTACAGGCCAAATATACCTTCAATTAGTTTTACTTATAAATAAAACTAAATATCGTGAAATTAATTATGGCAATTATACCTATACCTTTTTGGTTTGGAATGTTTAAAACCACAAATCGGGATTATGGAAAATATAAGATTTTCCAAGATCAATATCATTATTTTACAGGCGAACAGTTTAATAATCGACTTTCTGAAACCAAACACAACTGCTTATCGAAATCAGTTTTTTACAGTAAATGAGATATAACTAAGAATATGCTTATGAAGAATTTAACACTTATTTACGAATGGTATGTTATCAAATAGTTTTATTTGATTATTAACCACACATTCGGATTCCAATGCAAATGTACTTTCAAATGTTTTATTTAAATAATAAAACTATATTACATTATTTGTAAGTAATAAATTCTAGATTTGCACACGAATTACACGAAAAGTAAAACATTATGTTATTGCTAATATTAAGGATGAGCATCGGAACCGAGTATCTGCTTTTGGAACCGGAACCGCATCGAAACTGCCGGTTCTGGAACTGGAACTGTCTTAAGCGGTTCCGGTTCTAGTTCCTAAAGTTATGGAACCGCCTTAAGCGGTTCCGATTCCAATTCTCATTTTTTCGAAATTGTTACCCGCTGGGTACCCGCCGAAACCGGTTTATATATATATATATATATATATATATATATATATATATATATGAAAAACATAAATGAAAAACATAATTTATAAATGAAAAACATACTTAATCCTCCTTAATAAATTAATGTTATTTTGCCACATGTCAATCTCTCATGAGTTTTGACACTTGTCATTTTGCGGTATTTTTGAAATAAATATTATCCACTTGTCAATTTTTGATTTGTTTCAATTTTTAAAATTAAAGTCATATACTTATATATGTAAAATATTAAATATCATATAGTATTATATATATGATATTAAATTACAATAAATACGTTTCTTCCTTTCTTATTTTAATATTGTATATTAAAAAATATTTTCTATTTACACTTGAATTTAATATTTAATTTTTTTTTAAATCAACCCATATAATACACGGATCTCACACTTATTAGTTTTATATAAATACTATAAGATCAATACAAGCTATAATGATTATTTGAACTCAAATCCACAACCATCCCTTTTTAAATGTCTAATTATAAACGAACACAAGTTTTACGAAAAATGTAAAAAAAAAAAAAAAAAAAAAAACCCATTATTCATAAAAACATCTTTAATAATTATTGAAATATTTTTTGAATTCATCAAAACTTATTTTCGCTGAAAAAAAAAATCTTTTTTAGGAAAATATTGCTTAAATTAAAGCACATTGTTAAAATTTCACAAACTTCTTAAACTATAGTAATAGAATAAACATCATTAGAATGTAATGCATGATATGTAACAAAGTGCCCAAAATTCCAATGCTATTTATAATTCACGGGTCAATGTCCGTTGCCTCTAAGGGACTCCTACTAAGGCTCCCCAAGAAAAAAGACAATTAAATGAGACATACATAGGAAATAGCACAAAAATACATAAAGGCCTCAATCCATTTACTTCGATAACTAAACTATGTGAGACGTTTCCAAAGCCCAAGACATATAAATGCATTCTAAAATATCATTCATAGTCTTCTTTATATGTCCGGACCGCATACGTCTCATAACCCATCTAATATGTGAATGCACATGACCTTTGATAAAACTTCAAAATTTTCATATAAGTGAACATTTTAAAAATGCATGTCCGTATTTTAAAAACTCTATAACTTATTAAACAACTTGAAATAAATGCACAAGTAGTACATAACTACATAAAGTATTCCGAACAAGGTGTATACATATAGTTTACTATTAAGTTGTGGGGGTGTTGGTCCATTTTTTACTGATGGTATGCTATGAGACATTTTTTACATGCGGTGAACACCGTCTCCTTCCTTTTATTTTACCGGCAGTAATTTGTCAGCAGTGGAAATTCACCGATGATAAAAATAAAATTTTGTGGGTTTTGCCAGCGGTAAACAACAAATCCACACCCTAAATCGTTTTTAAAAGTTGCAAAATAGCAAAGATGTCTAGATGTTCGATAGTAAAATGGTATAACACCATTTAGCCTTATTGTTATATCTTTTCCTTAGATTTCAAGAAGTTTACTATTATGGTTATATCTTTTACTTGGAGTAGATAAGAAATTTAGAAGTAATTGATTAAAGTAGCTCACGAACCATCGTCTTATTATGTATCCATGTAATTATTTCAAAATTATTTAGTTGTTTGTTCAAAAGAGTAACATATTTATATTATCATAACCGTATTGATTATTTTCATATAGTTTAATAAAATCATATTAATGCGTATTGGTCACTTCTAATCCATTCAAAGATATGTGGAGAGAGTTTTTAGGAAGTGATTTGATTAGAAACGATGGAAAGGAAATGTAATTTGACTTGGTGCTTTCCAACCCTTGCCTAAAGTTATACCAAACAATCCTCTACCAATTTGTCACGTTAACAATCCATTCCCAAAACCAAACTAAATAAAAAACCATAAAGATTTAACCAAAAACAAATGAGTTCCAAAAATCCAGGACAATGGAAATAGTTTTCTGTCATGTCCCAATAGAAGAAAATAAAGAAGAAACAAAGAATGTGGTTTCCTAAGACAACGAGTAACTCGTCCATCCGTGCCGGAAATGGGCAACGTAAGGGAAACTCCATTGTGGCTGTCGCAATAGACAAAGATAAATACAGCCAACACGCTCTCAAATGGGCTGTTGAACACCTTCTCACCCGTGGTCAAACCGTTGTCCTCATCCATGTCAATCACAAATCAGGCAATAAGCAATTCCTCGATGAATTAATATTTACACAAATCAGAATTTTCATTTCTACAAAACTTTATGTTAGAAATCATAGTTGATGGATCTGTTGGAATCCTATACAATGTCTCAGTGACATATCTAACAAAATCCATGTTACGGATGTAGGGGGAGGGCCTGATCATGAAAAGAAGATTCGAGACCTATTCCTCACTTTCCATTGCTTCTGTACCCGTAAAGACGTATGCATGCATGCATGCACATTTCCATACAAAAACTTGATTATAAATACTATATATTTTTTATTTGATTTACAGGTACAATGCATTGATGTCATACTTGAAGGCACCAACATAGCAAAAGCGTTAGCAGAATACGCTTCTGAAAATGCAATAGAGTATTTGGTGCTTGGTGCATCCTCACGACATGGTTTCATTAGGTGAAATTAAGACGATAATTTATTTATTTTTTACACGTTAAGATCTTTTGACTAATCGTTTAATTATTTAATTAACTCTGATATATACAAGATTCAAGACCTCCGATGTTCCCAGCAGTGTAATGAAGGTGGCCCCAGATTTCTGCACCATTTATGTCATCTCCAAAGGGAAGATTTCGAGTGCAAAAAAATCTTTAAAAGCCGCTCCGTTTGTTTCTCCGCTCCATGAACAGATCCAAGAGAAATCAAACAATGCAAACAGTTTCGTGTCAATTGCACCCAACAACAACAACAATAATAACAACAACCACAGTTTTCAATCCAGAGCGCCGGAAAAGCCGCCGGAGAAGCCCCGTATGATGCCGGAAAAGCTTGAATCCTTCAGGTAAGTTTTAAGTTTCCATTGTACTTCACGAAAGCACCTTCGAACATTTTTGCAGAACTAAAAGCGGTTAATTAATTACCAGATCGCCATTTACTCGACCTGGAAGAGCAGAAAATGCGAAGCTCTTGGAGCTTCAGGATTTAGACACTGATATATCGTTTGTGGGGAATGCGAGGCAGAGCACTGATCGTATGTCTCTCGGTAACTACTACGACCTGGACATCGGAATAACTGATCGGAATCGTGATGATTTCTCATCGTCTTCTTTTGAGAGCCGAGCCTCATCTGCATCTCAAAATATGGTAAGTATGCATTAAACAAAGCCATCTCCCAGATCTAAAACAGATATAAAACATGGATTTACTTCGATCTTGATGAATTCATACAGGATGATGGTGACAATGAAATGAAAATGTTAAAGATGGAACTCGTGAGGAAAATGGGCTTATATACTGTAGATTGCAATGAAGCAAGTGCAGCAAAACAAAAGGTCTGCTACAAAAGCACTAATAGTGATTATTTTATGTGCAATAGATGACTAATTAATATGACATAATCGAAACAGGAGGGACTCCAACAGTGGCGTATGGAAGAACAGAAGAGATTATTAGAGGAGGCTAGAGAAGCTGGAGAGAAAGAGAAAGCCAAGTCCCAGGCAACAATGGAGAAAGCAGAAGCATCTAAAAGAATCATGGAATTGGAATCTAGACGAGTAGTCGCCGAAATGAAAGCACTTACCACAGACGATGAGGATCCCGATAGCAAATTCGAGTATAAGAAATATACAATTGAAGAGATCGAAGAGGCTACAGAGTTTTTTGCACAATCTAGAAAGATCGGAGAAGGAGGCTACGGTCCTGTTTTTAAAGGTATGCTCAGTCAGACCGTTGTCGCCATTAAAGTGTTGCGTCCAGATGCTGCACAAGGAAGGTCACAGTTTCAACGCGAGGTATATAGGGATATGAATCGTTGAATTGTAATTAAGATTTAATTTAAGGATCTCTACAAATAATTTATTGGTTGATGAATGATGATAGGTGGAAGTGTTGAGCTGTATGCGACATCCGAATATGGTTCTCCTCCTTGGAGCCTGCCCGGAATACGGGTGTCTGATCTATGAATACATGGGTAACGGTAGTTTAGAAGATCGGCTACTCAGAAGAGGAAACACGCCACCGTTATCCTGGCAAATCAGATTCAAAATCGCGTCAGAAATCGCCACCGGAATCCTGTTTCTTCATCAGACAAAACCAGAACCGATAGTTCACCGTGATCTGAAGCCAGGAAACATTCTCCTAGACGAAAACTTCGTGAGCAAGATAAGCGACGTCGGACTAGCGAGGTTACTCCCGCCGTCGGTTACTGGTGACATGACGCAGTATCGGATGACATCGGCAGCAGGGACACTTTGCTATATTGATCCGGAGTATCAGCAGACGGGGATGCTTGGGGTGAAATCTGATGTCTATTCTCTAGGGATCATGTTATTGCAGTTGATTACAGCTAGACCGGCGATGGGTTTGAGTCATCATGTTCAAAACGCCATTGATGATGGAACTTTTGGTAAGATGCTGGATCCGTGTGTCACTGATTGGCCTCAAGATGAAGCCCTAGGGTTTGCAAAATTGGCACTACAATGTGCTGAGTTAAGGCGTAAAGATAGACCGGATTTAGGGAATGTGGTTTTGCCGGAGCTTGCTAGATTGAGAGACTTCGGTGAGGAGAGCATGCCGCCGTGAACAACACCGTGTATATATACCAACTAGTTCAGAATTCAGATCCTTCCCAACCATAGCTATAGGTTTCACTGTAGGTGTGTATATATTGCTACCGATGAATATTGAAATTGTATATTTACAGGTGAAGAACTTGGTGCACCTTGTATAGAGCTTATGGTTTTCTTTTTTCTTTTTAATTTGCTATCTTCGATATAAGAATCGTAAAATTTCTTTCGTTTTCTTGGTCATTAATTACAAAAAAAAAAAAAAAAAGGGGAAATAAGTTTTTGGGATAATGATTCTAGCGGATAATTCATTTTTACTAAACTTTTTTTCGTGATATATTAACTATTGAACTAGTTAAAACGTGTATAGTCGATCATAAAGGCAAATGTGAACAATTTCAAATAATTCAAAGGTAAATCGAACACGAAAAAAGTTTAATTACTAAATGTAAACAAAATTAAAATTTTATTACCCCTTCAGATCATTATCTCATAAATGGTTCTAAATGTTATTAAAGATGAACACAAACGGGATATAAAAGTTATAAAAGTGATATACATTTATTGTATAAGGTGTCAGAAACAATACTTAAAAATATAGTAGGAGCGGCTTCAATCACAAAGAAACAGAAGGAAAAAAAATATGGTGATTTCATACATATATTTAGGGTATAGGCGACAGTTTTCACTCTAGAAGGTAGAGATTGTCGTTATAGATCGTGCGAGGAAGAAATAACATATATTTAGGACATAGGCGTCGACTTTCACTCCAGAGGATGGAGATGGTCGTTGTGAAGATAATATGATGTTAGATTTAAATCGGGTTTTTCTCTTTACAAGGGCATGCAGTTTGATAAATATAACATCGTATTATCTTCACAACGACCGTATCCATCTTCTAGAGTGAAAACCGTCGCCTATATCCTAAATATATGTTATCTCTTCCTCGCACGATCTACAACGATCGTCTCCACATTCTAAAGTGAAAACTGTCGCATGTCCTAAATATATGTCTGAAACCACCATATTTTTTTTTTCCTTCAGTTTCTTTCTGATTAAAGTCACTGCTACTGAATTTCTAAGTGTTGTTTCTAGTACCTTATACAATAAATGTATATCACACAATTACTACAACATCCTCACTTTTGTAACCTCCATATCCTGCTTGTGCTTATTCTTAATAACATTTGGAACCAATTAAGATAATGACTTGCAAGGATAACAAATTTTTAATTTAGTCATTGAATCTTTTTCGTGATTAATTTACTCTTGAATTATTTAAAACTGTTCGCATTTTACCCTCATGACCAGCTAAAGGATATGATCGTAATTTTTGCAACGTGTTATCCACACGTCGTTGGACACAACTTAAAAGTTTCCCAATATTTGGTCATTCATTAGTCAGAGAAAGTCGTTATAATGATATTATTCGGAACTACAACCATTCTCATAAATGAAGAATGTTATATATATATACACACACACACACTCTTAGGTTTAAACCTATAAAAACCACAGTTGAAAAAGAAAAACACTATTTGTCTCTTTAGAGTGTCATTTTCCTTTTTGTTGTGGGTTTTGTTTAAAATCAAAAAATATATGTTAAAATTTAGCTTCATAGGAAAGGCGGGAAAAGAAGAGTTTTGGATGATGAGGCGTTGCTACGTCATGCCATTTTGTTTTGACTTATGTATTTTATATCAAGCAAACCTGTTTTCTGAACAATGTAAACTACTTAATTATCAATGCAATGGTTGTATGGCTTTGATCACTATTATTCATTTCTTATGATACTGTACATGAAGTCAATCCACCCCCAGATATTTCCGCCATTTTGGTTTGGGGGTGTGACAATCTCCCAGAAGACACGTGGTCTTGGATCAATATGAGCCCCGAGAACGTTGCAAGGAATGTTTCGGTGGTCCTATACCCATGCAATTATGGTGGCCAGGAACAAAACCTAACTATAAAAGAAAAGGAACGATTAAGGTACGGACCACGATCTCAATACTCATACATTGCATACTCAGGAAATCATTCTCCTGATGGGAAATAGTATTCCAACCTTGCAGGAAGTCAAGTATTATCTTGGGAAATGTTTCGCTATGAAGGATCTAGGAGAAGCTACATGTATTCTTGGTATAAGAATCTACAGGAACAGGTAGGAATGGTTACTATGACTAAGTCAGAGTATATACTTGGATAAAATATTGAAAAGATTCACCATGTAAAATTCCAAGAAACCCATGTATCATACTATTAAGTTGAGCAAAACTTAATGTCCCAATAGCGATAAAGAGATAGATACTATGAGTCGGATTGTATGATTCAACTATAGGATCGATCATATAATGTATGACATGCACTCGACCTGATGTGGCTTATGCTTTGAGCATGGTTAACAGAAATCAAGGGAATCCTGGTTTAGCTTATTGGACGACAGTGAAGAACATTCTTAAGTATTTACGAAAAATAAAAGATGTGATCTTAGTTTTTGTAGGAAAATATGAACTTAAGGTGAGTGGGTATAGATAATAGTTATTGTCAATCTGGTTGGGTTTTCTTGTTAAATGGTGGGCCAATAACTTGGAAAAGTTCCAATCAACAAACGGTGGTTGACTCTACTTGTGAATTATAGTATATCGTAGCAAGCGAGGCAACAAAGCAGGCTATGTGGTTAAAGAAATTTATTAGGGATCTTGGAGTTATTCGATCAATCCAAGAATCAATGGAGATTTTCTATGATAATTAGGGTGTGGTAACTTTGACAAAAGAACCTAAATATCATATTAGATCTAGTCACGTCGAAAGGAATTATCACTACATTTGACATAAGGTTAAAGAGGGTGCACTCGTGGTGAATCGTGTATCATCAGAAGAGAATCCTTCTGATCCGATGAAGGGTCTGAGCAAGGTCAAGCACTTTGAGCATGTCATGAGCATTGGTTTGAGAGACGATATTAGATTTTAGATGTTAGTGTCGATATTATTTTGAAACTATATAGCAATAAAATTGTAATTGAATAATGATTAATTAAATAAATATTTCTTTATATTCAATGTGTATGATGCTATTTTTCAATTAATTTATTATTGCGTTTCACTTTGCATATTTTACTTCCTGAATATTTAGTTATTCAAAGACCATAGTCAGTCATACTTTGGAAGTAAGTATTGATTTAAGACTGTCATTGTTAACGTTACCTAACGGCCATGTTAAATGTAATAGAAAATGTAAGAGAGATGTAACTACCTTGGCTAAGACCCGGTCTTGGCCTAAGAGAGCCAAAGCCAGAGCGATAGCTTATTTCTCGTCACAAGGAAAGAACATTCCATGTGATCTCCTCATTCACTCACAACCAATGAGAAAGCAACGAATAGCCCGGGTGACGCCCAGAACTGACGTTACTTGCCGGCTAGTTAGCGTGAATAGCTCTCCCAGTAAGAGGGGGGCATGTTTCACGCTCACGAGGCATGATCCCCACAATCCGTTAGTAACAGGTATAAAAGGATCTTTTCCATATCAAGGAAGGGATCCATCTTCTCTCTTATGAAGATTACCCTAAATTTTCTCTCTCTCTCTCTCTCTCTCTCTCTCTCTCTCCAAAAAACTAACTTGATCGTCGGAGGGACGTCTTAGGAGAACACCCAATCGTCCTTTAACGATTCTTTTGTGATTGTGTTCTCAGAGAAGCATCCAAGTCAGATTCATTCTTCAGTATCCAAACCATCTGCGAACATGTCACAACATTTGGTGCCATCCGGATGTATCCTCAGAGTGATACAACCAATAGACGATGCTGGTTCCCTGCATAAGGGGGATCTAAGCCCAACAATATCTGGGATGGCAGTAGAAGCTCTGTTTAGAACGCACGAACCACTCCAGGTGCTGATGACACAAATCCCACCAATTATGATAAGAACAATGGAACCAGGGCTCTAGAGCAGTTTCCTCAGATGGCGATATCACATCCCAATCTATTGTAGATGAATCCATATGATGGCACTGAGGTATTCACTATCTCTAACTCCCGTAATAGAAACACACCTCACCACATAAAAAACAAGATCAAGATACTCTCGAGAAACCTACTCAACATCAGTTTCTCGAGCAACGATCCTATACCATCAAACTAGGATCCCACTCCTCATATTAGGATTCATTCGTAACACGAAGGTCCACCGAATGTACATTGACAATGGTAGTTGCTCTGATATACTCTATGAGCACTACTTCCGGCAGCTACCTGACACGTGGAAGGAGGGGGATCCAACCCTAAACTAGTGAACCATTAATAGGATTTACCGGGTATAGCTTGTGGCCACCAGGAGCTATTTTGTTGCCCTTAACGTTGGTCAGCCACAACAAAAGGGATCGAATCACAAGGACAACCGAGTTCTCTATGATCCGATACACAGCAGAACACAACATTCTGCTTGGACAGTCAGCAATCGCTTTACTTCATCTCGTACCATCGACGATACATGACATCATTAAATTCAGCACATGCCAGGGATTGTCGGCGGTCTTCGCCACAAACACCAGAGCACAACATTGCCACCAAATCATAGGCACCTAGAACTCGTGTGCGCGCCAAAGAAGTCCAATGAGGGATGTTTCACCGAGCAACACCAGATAAACAAACATGGAGTATCCAGAGCAGCTCATGTGAATTAGCCCTAGAGGTGGACAAAAGAACAGGTCTAAACCAATCCAAAAAAATAGTGTATGAACTGAACATGTCCTTAACCAGTCCTGATAATTCTAAAGAACAAAGGAACAAATTCGATGTAAAGGATGACGGGGGTATTTTTGTGGGCTATTCCTTGATTTCTAAAGCATATAGGGTTCTAAACAAGAAATCTAAGAGGATTGAAGAAACCTACTATGTTATGTTCGATGATAACTATCTAAAGAAGTTCCAGAAATTAGATCGTCAATCTGAGGAGATCTTTCCAATGACGAATCCAATGACCATCCCTTTCTCGAATCTTTACGAGTAATTCATGAACCTCTTTGATGAGCAAGAAAAGGCGATTTCTTCGGAATCCAAAGCAGCAAATAACAAGGAAGACGAGCTCAAGAAGATCATTGATGATGCTGTGAAGGATCTTGAAACGAGCCTACCAGTCCGAAAGCTTCTGACATTCCATCTCAAACGCAAGCTATGAATGCTCCAGTTCAGGGAGAGGGTTTTGCTTCTACA